CTAGGGCAACTACGGTGAGGTAAACAGATATTTGAGGGCTGTGTCCCCAATGTGTCCCCATATGGGCGTCCGGTACGAAGAGGTTTACGCGGTTACACAACGAAACGACAAAGCACTGTGTGGTGCATATACCAATCGGTTACTGAGAAAAATACGAAAAGAAACATGCCCCACAAGTCAACAGGAAAAAAAGAAAGGGCAGAACACTGCCTGTGCGATCTTCCTCCCGTCCCATCGATTTTCACCTATCATCAATCAGCACAATTTTTGTGCCCGCTACAGAAAAGGTCTCTCATACACGTTTCATTTGCTTCCCTCGACCCGTGCTTGCTCACCGAAGCGAGCTTGGCTTTACGAAGATGGTAGGAAACGACTGGCATGCCGCCGCACTTCACTTCTCGGTATTAGGTGTGGATCTATGTTCTCAGAGCTCCGCTCAAGAGATACCTCAGGAATCATGTCAAACTCTCTCTTATATCGGTTTTTGCCGTGACATTGACTCTCTCGTATCCGAAACTTTCTCTTACTCTTACATCGATTACATGTCCTTGTGTCGTAGCCGGCACTACAGCTTGTGTATTGATATTTCCGCTGTGTAGCAGCGCGGAGATGAGTGTGAGCGTTGTCTAGTGCGGGCGACGTTCTCATCAACTGCTGTGGCGAAAAATCGCAGACACCGCGCACGGGTGTGCACTTGCTTCTTTCGCTTACACTACTAGCAGCATGCAAGGCGCTCTAAGAATCGCTCCCGACGCCTCCCTATGATGTGTGCCTTTGGCCACCTTGACCTACAGCAAGGTGTACGTGTCGTTGTCTCTGTTTTGGGGGTGCGTCTGTGCGGAAGAAGCTTAAATGATCGACCTGCAGATGAAGACAGAGCGCAGATTGACTTGTGTGCCCTCGCCTCCCTCGCTTGTGCTGCCGACAGCAGGCAAGAGGGCTTTGAGAGTCGCCCCCAACGCCTCCTGTGATGTTTGCCTGTGGCCGCCCTTGGCCTACAGCAGTCTCGTGTGCTGCTGTGCTGGTTGCCTCGCGTGTTGTCTCGTGTGCTGCTGCTGTGCTGCGTATTATTGAAGGCTTTTGGGGATTCTCCCCCACAGCGGCGTGACCATCGCCCAATCAGTTGTCTCTGTCTTGCATGATGTCTTACAAAATCGGCGTGTGATTGGTGGGAGGTCGGGTGGGTATCTACCGGGCTCTACCCCTCTAAAGCATACCTGATGAATTGTTGGAAGTTCTTCGGGTCTTGCAATATAATTGCCGTACGTGTGGATCTGCTGCCATTTTGTCTGGCTTCCGGGAGACATAAAGCGTCAGAGTGTGTAGCGAAAAACGACAACGCCTTGCGAACTTCCCCAAACAATGTCACCACAACTACACGCCTCGAAAAGGGCTGCGTTGGTGGTGCGTAGAAACCTCAATCCGTGGAGTTTGGACACCGAGGTGCTACTTGCGAGGATGCCCACTTATGCGCGGGGGAGGATCATTCATTGTTATGGTATATAGCAGGGCCTGTCCCGTCAGCCGATACACGTACCAGGACCACAACTTCTCTTTTCCAGTGCTGCGGGCCGCAAACAAAAACAAGAGGTGTCATCGTTAGTCGCAAATCGCACTCTCGAGTGCTGTACAGGCCCACAGCAGAGTGACGTCTTCGACCCTACGGCTTGTAGACCATTCCATTTGCTGTCCACGGACCCAGTAGATTCAAATCCATGCACCTTAGCGCTAGAACTTTGTAGTACTCAGACCGAAGTCGCCCAAAACGATAGTAGGCAAAAGCCCCCGAGGCGCGGCGGAACCTCAACCGACCCGATGCGATTTCAATTGAACGCGAGAACGGGCGAAATACGTCACGAATTGGCAGCAATATTGTTACATGGAGAGGAAGAAAGTCTTGCATCGATACGTGCAAATGAGTGGGCACAAAGGACGGAGTTGGTAGAAAAATGGCGTACACGCACAGGCGTCGTGCTTTTTTTGCCCCTTCGCTGTTTTAAACCGACCACTCTCATCTTGTGGCTGCCTCTCCTGCGATTGCACAGACCGCGTGCGCAAAGCAAGAGATAAGAAAGGGAGGGAAATCAGCAGGATGCGACAGCCCAAGAATTGAGAACCCCTTCTGCGATTGCACAGACCGCGTAGGCATAGCGAGATATAAGAAAGGAAGGAAAATCAGCAGGATACGACGGCCCAAAATAATGAGAAACACATTTAAGGGCGCATTGGGGTTCCTGTTTTCACGAGGGGGGGTCAGCAAACGGTTAATTTGCGATGGATGTTTCGTACTGGAGTTAGACTTTGGAAAACTAAGATATGCAGGCGTTCCTGGATTGTTGAAGAGAGGAAAACTGCTTACCCCGGTGCGCCCTTAAGAGCACGGAAGACTTCGGCTGGTCTTTCGAGTCAACTTAAATAATGGACCCTCGACCGGATGTTGGCGTTTTTTTATCAGCAAACCACTTGCAGGCCCGCACTGCACCCCCCCCCCCCCCCCCCCCTCTCTCTCCCGCTCAACATGCCTATGTAGATCAGCAGCCAGGTTGAAAAATGACCCATCTCTACGTTTGGGCGGGGATGGATGCATGAAGACAAGAAACAAACAAAGACATACAGACAGCGCTGCTACATATCCCGACGCACTGAGGACGAAGGGAGCGAGAGGCAGTCCTGGCAGATCCCTCTTATCCAAATTTACCGGGCACAAGGAATGCCTTCTTGGCATCTGGTGACGAGTTGGTTAATGGACTTATCTCTTGTTCAAATATCGGACATCCACAACCGGACAGAAGCGCGCAGCAGATTTGGACGGCGTCGGGCAAATTATTAATACCGCACGGCTGGCAGGTTTGTTTTGATTTCTTATGTTTACATGCCGCGATTTCCTCAAAGGGTATCTGCACAAAAAGCATTTGTTTTCAAGGCGACCATCTACCTTGAACTGCGCGGTTCGAATCCTCGTGTCCGCCGTTTGTTGCGTCTCACACGCGCTTGTTCACACCAACCCATCCACAACAGCAGTCGTGCTCGCGAGCAGGCCAGATGTGCAGCAGTGACTCGCTCGTTGCGATCCATCCTCGGAAGTGTTTTTGTTTTTCCTCTGTCTGTCCTACTGCGAAGCTTGCCTTCAGATACTTGAACACGAGCCTCTATTTCGTGCCCTCTCGCGCCGTGGTCGCTAGGTAATTTGTCACCCGTAAAGTCGAGTCGGAAGGTCGCTCCGGATGCGTTGTGCATGACAGATCGTCGTTTTTCGTTTCGTTCCAAGCGGAACTTTCCAGTTTGTGCATTTCTTTGTGTTGCCCCCCCCCACTCCGGTAGAAAAGATCATGTTGGATGCTTCGGTGGTGTTGTCTCGCCCGGCCTTAGCGAATCGGCGTCGACTCTTCTTTGCGAGGTGAACATTTCCGGTTCATTTGTGCTTCTTCCGTGTCTCATTGGTCCACCTGAGAACCCATCATGTCAGCTGTGCCAGCATGAGCGGCCAACAAAGCGCGCGAACGTCGACACCTTTTCGTCTGCTGTTTCCTGGATCAAACGACACCATCATACGTGGTCGAATCCGGCGTTCCCACACCAATCACGGCTGGAAGGAAATGTTTTCCTCACGTCACAGTAATCATCGTCTTCGCGGCCAATTGTGCGAATTTCCTCCCTCCCTATGGCAAATATCCACCATGCGTCTTCCCTCCTTCGGCGCATGTGTGAACCGTGGAATCGCTTCGTCAAGCGTGGCGGCGTAATTGAAAATGAAATCCTCCAGATGATGAGACTGTTCGCAACCCAGAACAAAAGATCGTGGTGTCCGGTTGAAAGGTCCCGCCCCTTTATCCTCGTTTGTACTTGTATTCAGTTATACGGTTGCAGGCGGACATGAAAACCCTGTACAGTAGGGGGCCCGCAATCAGGCCGCCTGCCGTTTATAACGCGGGTGAAATCGCTCGGCACAGACTTTGCCCGATGTAAGGCCGGTTATGACCCCCCGCCTGCCCCGAATAAGGCTGGTCTCCGAAGAAGTGACGCTGGTTTCGCAGCATATCATACCCGCAGCTAGTGCACAGTCTCATGGAGCTAGCAGCACGTACCCTCCGAGTGTACCTTTTTAGGGTAAGTTAACCTGTGACCACGGGAATCGACCGCGTCGAGTGTTGGATCAGTACGGACATACGAAGGTACTGGGTAGAGAGAGATCGGAACGGTTTTTAATGTGAAGACAACAACAACAACCCTCCCGACGCTACCAATGAGATTGGCCTCGTGAGACACAACACACTTCCACTTGCCAAGAGTCAGCACCAAACACACAACATGCATACTCATAATAGGCACGAAACGGTCATTGTTGGAAGCGACCATACCGACACGGTTACCATCATCACATGAGAGAATTTCGTGCCCAGTTACCCCACTCTCCGTGCGTGACTTCTGAGAACGCTGTAACTAGTTGAGATATGGCCGGCCTTGACCTTCACTTAATGGTATCGCCTCACTTGTTCGGCTCTTACTCTCTTACAGTAGGCCACACGAATGCGTACGGACTTGCTTCCTTTTTTTTTTCTGCGAAACGGGGGGGTCTGCCAGACGTCTATTTTCTACCATACAAGTAGTACTTATTTATCACAGCAGTAGTAGTCATATTTGTCTGCCGGAATCATTATTTATTGTCGATTGGACATGTACCTGGTAGACGAACAAGGTTGGATGGGGAGCATGGGATGAACGTGATAGCGAAGCACCGATTCAAACGCATCGTCCGCTTCGTATGGCCTACGGTAGGCTCACGATTCTTTTGTAAGGCCGGTGCTGGCCTGGCTGAGGAAATAAAAATCCTCAATGAGGCCGGTTTAATCTCGTGGCACTGTGCGGCCTTATTGCGGGCCCCGTACTGTATTGGGGTCGGCCGGCCCGCTGACCGTCGTCTTTTTCTCTGTAACCCGCGGTCCATACTCTGCGCATGGTTCAACGGGTGCTTATTCGGTGCTTGGTTGCGTTTTGCCGGCATGCAGCATGTGATCAAAATCTTCACGGAGTCATCAAATCCTCTCGACAACACTAAGAGGGAGCTCGACAGGATGATCCGGATGGAGTGGGCCCTGGAGCAATTGGAAGCAACCAGCGGCGTGAAGGGCCGCATGGCCAAGGTCGTCTGGTGGACCGAGGACATGTACCTTCCCATGAAGGGGGATGGAGCAAACGACCACTACCCAGCAATCGTGATGGACTACATGGGCGGGTAAGACCCAAAAGAGCGAGGGGTAGTGAGGAGTATCTTGGGAGTGCGAGCAATTTTCCCTCAACAAATAATTTGCACGGGGGGCTGCGCGGAAAGCCGGGTGAATGCTCGATCATTTGAATCCCACAGGTCATACTTTGTCAGGCGATATCGGTATTCAGAGCAAGCCCAAACTACGTTCGTCGCTCTTTGTCCGACCCAGCCGAAGCCCACTGCCGATGAGTGTATGCGAGGCATTGCAGCTGGTACCTTTGGAAGTGCACCAGCTCTTTGTCTCCCCTTGGCCAACATCCTTCCCTCCCTTGCACCCTGCATGTGATGGCCCAGAAAAACGCTGGATTACCACTTGGCACTATCATCCGACGCGGTCAAGCAAAAGTACTTCGTCAAGGTGAGCTTTACGTGAAGGAAGCTGCAGGCTTTCGGAAACTTTGCTTGTCCATTTTTTTGCGATTCAAGAGACAAAGTTGTCGGCGCGAAAGGAGCAGGGATTGGATCGTGTCATGGTTATCTGTGCAGTGTTGAAGGAACGGTGTAGAAGGTTCTACTACAGTAGGGCGTGTTGCTGGAGTGCAGCTAGAAAACCATTCTCATGAACATTGTTCATGGTAAGCCATGCATCCATCGATCCTCACTCGCGTCCCTCGATGACACTGTCTCATGCCTCATGCAGTGCTTGGACCAACTGGTGCGATTCGAAAGAGCCGGAATCTTGCAGACGGACATGAAGAGAAGAAATGTGGTGGTCAGCGACGAGGACGACCTCACCATCATCGACTACGGCTCCTGCCAGCTGCAACCAGAGGTGATGTAACCCTCCCGACGAGCGATGCTTGATAGACGACCATGCATATGTCGTAAAGTCTTCCCACTCTCATGTGTACGCCTCACAAATTGTGGGTTGTACGAGTTTCAAGTTTCAAGGGCTATGCCCACTCCGCGAAACTAGCTTCGTTTCCAGCTCCAGGTTCAGCAGGCCCAGTCTCGATTGTGCAGCGCTTACGAGCCCTGCTGCGTCTCGAAGGAGTAGCCGGACCATCGTTTGTTGTACAGAATGTGCAGCAATGTAAGGATGCCGAGGATCGAAACGGTTCCAAGGGTGCGATTGGGCATACAACGTCTCGTCCTTGCCTCGAGCCGTGCAGGTCGATCAGCCGCTAGAGGCGACATTCTGTACATGCTGTTGATCGTCCCCGCTCCCCCTCCCTTTCCTCTCGTCCGCCAATCGATAGGATGGACGCTATGAGCACTCCAAGCTATACACACACGAATACCAGGACACGATCGATGTAAGATATGCCGTTTTGGGCGGGCTTTGAGATTCTGTTTCCCAAGTGATCGAGGTTTGCAGTACGTGGCAGCTTTCAAGCAAGCGCGCTGTTAGACATCGAAACGGTCTAAAGGTTCAAAGTCACAGCCCGGAACTGTGCGGCGATTGATAGTCTAGATACGCTTGGGAACGGTTAGTACGCTTGGAAGACGTCGAAGTCATTTATGTCTGCCGGTAGTCCTGGACTTGACGGGACTTTCCCAATCGACACATTCTTTCGTTCGGTGCCCTCCGTGCGACCGCAACAAATATTTCGTCCAGATCACGGAGAGGCAGAACTATTACACAGGGCTCGGCTACACGGATGGCAAGATGAACGGCGAGTCTAGCGCTCTCTTTGCGACGGCCGTGACGATCTGCAAGAGGGGGACCAAGCGCAACGAAGGAGTGCAGCCGCCTGCCACCATGACGCCAGGTGGGTGGTGCCGTTTGAGTCACCTTGATTATTTGTGCAAACGATCACCCCGATGAAGTTATGCCCAGTGGGCGATGCTTCATTCACTGCATAAGGCTAGGTTACATGTAGTAGGAGTATGGTTCATCCCGAGAGTAATGCCGCCAGCCTCGGCATCTTGCCAATCACTAGTGAGGGATAGGATATTGTCCCATTGCCTCGTCAATATTTAGTATTTTGTTTTATCCATTCCCTCACCAAAGAGTTCTCCTATCGTTCTGCTTCGGAATACCTCTGGCTGCAACGCTGAAACTCAAGGAGTGCAAACATGGTGCTACAACGTGATGAGGAACAAGCAAGCCGACCGGTGGGGTTCGGCCGACCTGCTCCGGGACACGGGGATTCAGGTTCGGGGAACGTTTGGCTGGGCGATTCTTGTGCGTGTGGAGGTTTTTCCCGTCGTTACTGCCAGTGCACATTGATGTGCAGCACGGCCCCGGGGAGTCGCAGAGCGTAGCCGAGCGGACGGAATCCGGACGGGTTCCTTAGCTCGTTCTACTGTAGATGGCGTCCACCATAGTGGTCCGGGGTGATCAGTTGAACACGACGCGCACCAGCAGCAGTGCGGGTGCATTGATTGGAGTATGCGTCGTTCCCAGCTTGCATGGAGGTCCTCGCAACGCTCAAGACCATGGTGTCTTGCAGGGTGAACCCATCTTTGCTCGACTCATTTTCGGATTTTGAGCTTTGTCAGAAACCTCTTCGGCACGATTGGTTCTGTTTTTCATGTCTTGCGAACATCCCGGCACGCTCAACAAAGTCCCACTTGTATGATGTTGGCTACCGTACGGACAAAAGGTTGGCCACCTGGTTCATGCCCCACGCGACAGCAGTACAGTACTGCTGCAGAGTTTGGGAACCAAAGACGAGTCGACAGAGTGCGTGACAGGAGACATGAACAGATTGTGACTGTTGGGGTCCACCCTGGCATATTACATCGAACGTGGCCACCCCCCTCGGCGATTGGATTGGACAACACAGACGAAAAACTCGTAAACTTCAACAGCAGTGGTTCGGAAATATGTCGGCGAGCTTGTCTCACTGGTTCGTTGATCGGGACCCGCGTTCCTCGTCGTGTATGATACAGCTCCTTCGTCACATCCTGTTAAGAGCGCACGTCACTGCGCCACTCGTCACCGTGTGTCGGCTTTGCATGGACGCGGTACTGTCTCAAGCACTGCTGTGTGCTTGACTCACTGCACAAGCGGGTTGGGGCCTGTTTGACTTGCGCGCTCACGATTGCTGGTCTTGACCCGCCAGCCGGCTCTATCGCTGGGGGCAAATCGCGTTGCTACAATCCCTGCATGTTCGAGACGAGCTCACGGCACGACTTGTCCCTCCTGAGTGATGGCCATTTATCTACCTCATGTCGTCACCGTCGCTCCTTGAACGCGACAGGAGGCCGCTAAGGAGCATGGCGTCACTCTCCCGCCGATACTGGGCGACGAGGGTGTTCGGCTTGGCGGGGAGAGCGCGGACGACATGCGCGCTCGGGCTGGTGAGCTGAAGCGCGAGGCGACGACCATTTCGAACAACGTAGGCGCCAAGAACGAGGAGCTAGCGGCCATGTTCAAGGCCGCGTGGACACTGCGGAAGGAGATTGACGGCTTGGCAGCCAAGGCACGTCTAAAACAGAAGGATTCCGAGCGGCTGAGCCTGTTGGTGAAGGAGGTCAAGGAGGAGGAAGAAGCGGCGGCGGCGGCGGCAGCGGCGGCAGCGGCGGCAGAGGAAGAAGCGCTCGTCCACTCGGCGGCGGTGGCGGCAGCCTATGCGGAGGTAGAAGCGCTCACCCGATCGGCGGCGGAGGCGGCGGCGGCAGCCTATGCGGAGGAAGAAGCGCTCGCCCAGTCAACGGCGGCGGCGGCGGCAGCCTATGCGGAGGTAGAAGCGCTCACCCAATCGGCGGCTGCGGCTGCAGCTTCGGCTGCCGCGGCCGCACTGAAGCAAGCTACCGCCCTTTCGAACGAAGGCGGGGGCTCTTCGGCGGGCATGACGCCACCAGGAAGCGTCGTAATGTCACGCAAGAGGGAACGCGACGGCGGGGGCGTGGAGGAGTCGAAGGGGTGCGAGCCGCCGTCTGCCGCACGGGCGCAGGCTGCGGCCCCTTCGAACGAGGGGGGGGGCTCTTCAGCGGGCATCACTTCATCGGGAAGCGTGGGAATGTCGCGCAAGAGGGAACGTGGGGGCGCGGGCGTGGAGGAGTCCAAGGAGTGCGAGCCGGCGTCCAAGCGCTCCGCTCCAGGGGGCTGCCACGGCCGGGGAGAGGGCACGGGTTCGGGTAGCGGTGCCGGTATCGCCGCGGCCGCTTCAACCTCCACCGGCAGCGCGTCACGTTCGGTCGAGGAGGAGATGGTGGAGAGCAGCGGCGGTGGAGTGGCAGGCACCACGGGAGGCGAGAGCTCGGGTGGAGGGGGCTCCGCAGTCGGAGAGGTTGTCGCCCCCGTGGCGGTGCCGGTGGTGATGCCGGTGCCGGTCATGGCGCCGGGGGGCGTGTCGGAGCCGGCCCGCCGGGAGATGCGGGCGAGCACCAAGCGGAAGACGGAGCAGAGTCGCGAGGTATTTGAAAAACCTGCAAAAGGTTGTGGAGATGGCAAATGCACGTGTATATGAGCCGTTTTTGAAGCCGCTGATATTGTGTGAAGTACATGGGTGTTTACGGAAGCTGCGTGAATCGAAGATTATGAGATATCACAACGAATGTGTCGGCAGCTGGCGACCTCGCCCAGTATCAGTCGAATACAACCCAAGATACACCACGAATACCACATCTGGTGGCAATGGTTTTACGTGTCAATATGACCCCAAAGCAAAATTGTCTCAGGTCAAGCACTAGGTGACATATGCATAAGGTACCCCACAACCCTACAATTACACACATAGGTGATTGTTGTGAAACTACAATGGTGTCTTGTGTCGTAAACGGTAGCGATATATGATGTCATTCACACGTGCCGCTTCCTCACGTGCCTACAGCTGTAGTTCAGGATCTGGTACTGTAGGTACGTTCGTGTGTGTTTGTCGAATTTTCGATCAAAGAGATACTTCTGTACCCTTTCCCGTGGCTGGTGGCAAACAACAACGAGCTCTGCTGACGCCGTCTTTGTTGCACGCGCAATTTGGGCAGGCGGCGGCGAAGAAGGCACGCAAGCAAGGCCTCAAGACCCGCAGCCAGAAGCGGAAGGCCGAGGGGGGGGAGGAGAAGGGGGGCGCGGCGGCGGGACCACACGCCGGGGGCTCGAAGCGGCGCAGAACCTGAAGCGCAAGGCTTAGCGCCCCAGGTAAACAGACTACCGTGATTGACGTGCTCATGGAACCTCCAAAATACTGGTAGGTACATACATCACTGGGGGTGATCGATTGGCCACTCACACGTGCGATACTTGTCAGCATCCGGCTCGTACTGCAGATGCGTTGGGTTACGAAAATAGAGGGATCCATGCTCATTCCGAGACGTGTAGCTTCGCCATGTGTTCCACGACTAAGAGGATGCACATGACTATGGCGATGTGACGAAAACGAGCCAGGAGATCCACACTGAGACATCACTATAGCTCCTCCTAGGCCGTGCTTGTGTTTGTCTCCCTCCATAAGGCCCATGTGCGGAGGACGGCACATCACAGGCCGAAGTCGTCTAGGGAAAAGGAATAATCATAGTTCAATGTTCGTGTACGTCACGCCTTATGCATCAGTGTCGCGGATCAGCCTCCTCAACCTCGGCCGCCGCAAAGTGATATCCGACGCCGCTATCGAGAAGCAGAAGTTGAGCTTTCCTTGTTAATGTCACTGCATCGCCATGTATTGAAAGAAGCATCTCATAGTCCCGTTTGAACCCACTCCCCATTGCCCGCCTGCCTGCCTGCCTTCCTGCCTCGTTTCGGCCTCCAGTGAACTTTTGATGGGTTTTCTTTCTTACACTGCCTGGAGCAGTTTTTGGTTTGGTTTGATTTCAACAACCGCTGAGCGGGAGAAGTCGCAAGGACGGCAGCTGCCACACTGGGAGCGTAAGTCCAACTGTAACCTAAACATGAGAGAGTGAGGACCCCGGGCGCTTGCTTTTCCCGTTGCTGGCGAGCGAAGCGGTGGTGATACTGAGTGGCCCACCCCAATGGTGAGACTGTTGTGGGCGGCGTCGGCGGCTGCGGTGCTGTGAATGACGCGTCAGCCCTCGTCCGTTCCGCTCTTGGTGGGTCCTGTGTAGGGGCCGTCAAGAGCGGTAACAGCGAGACCGTGGCGATCGTCTCGGCGAAGCCGGGCTCAACGGGCATAGCGGCGTCGTGACCTGATTCTCAGGGACACCCACGCCGGATAACACCAGCGCCGTCCGGATCGTCAGTGCCGCCCTGGGGCGCACCCGTGGTAATGTGGCTTGGCCCGGTGGGCAGCGGAAAGACCGGCGAGGGCGGTCTGTTCGAGGTGGCGGCCGCCTAGTCGACCACGGGCACCGGAGGATCGGTGACCATCACCAGCGGCAAGGACACGGCGATCACCATCCGATCGCCCAACGCTGGCACCGACGGTGTGAGCGGCGCCGTTGTGTTGAGCTCGGGTACCACCAGCTCCGGCACCAGCGGTTCGGTTCCGATCTGAAGTGTCGCGGCGACGTCCGGGGCTGGCGGAGCGATGAGTCGCACGGTGGGCACCAGCGCCTACAACACGGGCGGGACGCTCATGTTGTCGGCCGGCATGGGTGTGACGGGCGGTCCCCTGTCGATGGCGGCCGGCACTGGCGCCATGTCTGCGGGCGGGTCGGTGAGTAGGGCGGCGGGCGCCGGGTCGACGGGCGGATCGTTGACGGTGGTGGCCGGTCAAGGCACATCGTCGACGGGCGGGGCGGTGACGGTGGCGTCGGGTGAAGCAGGGGCGGAAGGCGGCGCTTTGATCATAGCAGCTAGCTGCATATGTGGTGGCCTTGTAGCTGTGGCGAGCGGGGTCGTCACGGGCGGGAACCGCGGGACCGTATAGATCGGTAGCGGTGCTGCTCTGGGAGGCAACGGAGGTATCCTGATTTTGCCGGTGGGCAGCGGAGAGACCGGCGAGGGCGGTCTGGTCGAGGTGGCGGCCGGCTAGTCGACCACGGGCACCGGACGATCGGTGACCATAGCCAGCGACGAGAGCACGGCGACCACCAACGGTGCGATCACCATCCGATCGCCCAACGCCGGCAACGACGGTGTGAGCGGCGCCGTTGTGTTGAGCTCGGGTACCACCAGCTCCGGCACCAGCGGGTCGGTTCTGATCGGAAGTGTCGCGGCGATGTCCGGGGCTGGCGGAGCGATGAGTCTCACGGTGGGCACCAGCGCCTACAAACGGGCGGGTCGGTGAGTCTGGCGGTGGGCGCCGGGTCGACGGGTGCATCGTTGACGGTGGTGGCCGGTCATGGCACATCGTCGACGGGCGGGGCGATGACGGTGGCGTCGGGTGAAGGAGAGACGGACGGCGGCGCTTTGATCATGGCAGCTGGATATCATGTTATGAGGCGCGGCGGGGCCGTGACGGGCGGGAACCGCGGGACCGTATAGTTCGGTAGCGATGCTGCTCTGGGAGGCAACGGAGGTAACCTGATTTTGCCGGTGGGCAGCGGAAAGACCGGCGAGGACGGTCTGGTCGAGGTGGCGGCCGGCTAGTCGACCACGGGCACCGGAAGATCGGTGACCATGACCAGCGACGAGGGCACGGCGACCACCAACGGTGCGATCACCATCCGATCGCCTAACGCCGGCACCGAGGGCGTGAGCGGCGCCATTGTGTTGAGCTCGGGCACCACCAGCTCCGTCACCAGCGGGTCGGTTCTGATCGGAAGTGTCGCGGCGATGTCCGGGGCTGGCGGAGCGATGAGTCTCACGGTGGGCACCAGCGCCTACAAACGGGCGGGTCGGTGAGTCTGGCGGCCGGCACGGGTGTGACGGGCAGTCCTGTGTCGATGGCGGCCGGCAATGTTGCCACGTCTACGGGCGGGTCGGTGAATCTGGCGGTGGGCGCCGGGTCGACGGGTGCATCGTTGACGGTGGTGGCCGGTCATGGCACATCGTCGACGGGCGGGGCGATGACGGTGGCGTCGGGTGAAGGAGAGACGGACGGCGGCGCTTTGATCATGGCAGCTGGATATCATGTTATGAGGCGCGGCGGGGCCGTGACGGGCGGGAACCGCGGGACCGTATAGATCGGTAGCGGTGCTGCTCTGGGAGGCAACGGAGGTAACCTGATTTTGCCGGTGGGCAGCGGAGAGACCGGCGAGGGCGGTCTGGTCGAGGTGGCGGCCGGCTAGTCGACCACGGGCACCGGAAGATCGGTGTCTATGACCAGCGGCGAGGAGACTATGACCGCCAGAGGCGGCACCAGCGGGTCGGTTCTGATCGGAAGTGTCGCGGCGACATCCGGAGCTGGCGGAGCGGTGAGTTTTACGGTGGGCACCAGCGCCTACAACACGGGCGGGTCGGTGAGTCTGGCCGCCGGCACGGGTGTGACGGGCGGTCCTGTGTCGATGGCGGCCGGCAATGTTGCCACGTCCACGGGCGGGTCGGTGAGTCTGTCGACGGGTGGATCGTTGACGGTGGTGGGCGGTCAGGGCACATCGTCGACGGGCGAGGCGATCACCGTGACAGCCGGTGAAGGAGAGACGGTGGGTGGCGACCGGAGTATGGCGGCCGGGTAGGGCGACTCGGATTTATGGTTGATGGATTGGTCGGCGCCGGGTGAGGACAAAAGAGAGAACCTATGTCTGTAGGCACGTATGGCACGGGCGTTGATCCCACGTTTGTTGACGGGCAGAACAAAGCGGGCGTGCTTGTATGTATCCGTGCTTCACTTACACCATCCGACGCGATCTGTGTTGAGCTGGGGAGGCGCACTGTGGTGCGATTGCCGTCCTCACGTGTTTTTCCCTACCCGTTGTTCGTGTTGGCTGGATCCCAAACCCACAGACGGGTTGGTTCCTGTGGTTCGGCGGCCGGACCATTGGCTGTGAGCGACGGTGACGTGGGGAGGCAGGGAGAGAGACACGGAAGAGGTGAGAGAAATGTGCGGGCTGGAGTACAAGTACCAGCGCAAGTAAAAGTTATTTCGTGGCGGGCACAGGCTCCTTGTTTGAACTCCGACTATTGCAGACAGGAGTGGGAAGGGCGGTCCATGGAACACCACGTCAGTACCGATACCTGTGGTTTTTTCGTGGTCGTGTCTTTCAAGCAGGGAGGCTATGCGTATGTGGTTTCGGTGAGGCTGAACTCGCATCCTGCCCGTCGGTTAGTTTCCTTGGGGTGTGAAATAGTGTGTCCTCTCCTTTGTGCCCGCTCGCCTCTCAGTCGTTTACTTACCCCTTCCTTCCCTCTCACTCTTTCTTACCCTTTCCTTCCCTCTCTCGCTTTCCCAACTCTCCCCCGCCCGCTGCGGTACCGCCCTTTACATCGTCTACGCGGGGTACATGTCTGCATGCACCGATCTACTTGGGTCGCACCCGGACGCTGCCATCAACCGTCACGATAGAGGTGTGCACGAGGGCATCACGCCCGCCCGCACCAGATTCAGAGGCCGAAACCATACCATCCATGCGTTCACGCACCCGGCGGACGTCGGTGCCGTGTGGAGCGGCAGTTGGAGAGAGCTGCCGTACCCTGCAATGGCTGGTTGTGTTTCCATCGCTGCCTCTGGTCTGTGTGTGGAGCACGAGGCGGAACCGGTGCTGCTACCGGTGGTCGTCGCCTGTGCTGATGAGGTGCGATTGAGACTATCGTCGTCGTGTTTCGCCACGTGTGTGTGTGTGTGTGTGTGTGGTGAGCCGGTGCAAGCTTGTTTATCCTGCGCCTTGCGGTTGGCCTCTATCCTGCCCGGTGTCTCTTTTCATGACGCTGACTATCCAGTGCGTTCACATTCGTGTTTGCCTTTCTCCCTGTGCAGCGCAGGCTCGGGTGTCGACGTCCTCATCCACTCACGCGCAGGCTTTGCGGCGGTGTGCGTTTGGAATGTCATCCCGGCGATGGGTTGGTGGTGGGGTTTGTGAGTGGGCCGGGCTGCTGGTGCTGCTGCTGCTGCTGCTGCTGCTGCTGCTGCTGTCAGTTGTTGCCACTTGTTGTGAGGTAAGGCCGGCCACGTTGGTTGTTCGGTTGTGATTGAGATAGGCAGTCGATCGCCGCACTGCCGCTGGTGGCACCTGTGCTGGGATGAAGGCACAGACAGGGAGCTAAATAGTCGATACGGTATCCAACTATCCTCTGTGCGTTCTTGTGCGTTTGCATTCCGAAGTACCATAGATGTGGTGTGTGT